CCCCACCCAATCTCCTACTTACGTAAGAGAACACGTGAACCATTCCAAATATCACTCTCGTTCCTTCTCATTGGAGACTCGCGAAACTTCGGAGGCTGAGTTCCGCAACTCTAAAACTAAAACACTCGGTTTGACTATCTGACATTTCAATAACTGCTGAGAAGGCATCAAAGTCTTCAGGTAAGCGCAGGAGCCACTTGCGCTCCTTCTACCATCGAGCGCCGTGCTACCAACCTACCGCCACCTAACTACGAATTCAAATTAAACGATCGTTTATTTCAAGCATCTAATATCAAACTTCTAAACTAAACTCGTTACGTCTCGACTTATACTGAAGCTTCGTGAGCAGTTTGATGTCAATTGAAGTTACCGTCTGAGAGAAACGTGGGCCAGGACAGACAGACCGACAGACAGACCCACGACCAAAGAGTTCTCTGCACCCCACATCACAGCAAAGGCTACGCAAGCTCAGCCAATTATTTTAAGAAAATATTTGATGGTCTCCAAAGGTTTGTTGATTTTGATTACGAAGGAGACAGCAAAGGTACCTGGCAGAAAGACGGTTCAAAGCGAGCTGCCACTCAAACGGGCCGAAGGTTTTTCGATTGATATCAGCTATATTACACTTTAACAATTCAGAAGGGGCGGACCGCCGGCAGGCCAAGCTAGGCCCGCTCCCGGCCGAACCGAGTTGGCGGTGGAGCGAAGCGGAGCTGGCAGATTGGTTTGGCGGAAGAGCGGGCCTAGCTCGTCCTTAAATGTATTTTTGAAGTGAACTAACCAACAAATTTATGTCGACGAGCCACCCGGACAAAAGTTTGTTCGACATATCATACCGGACACACTGCTTTTGGAGCAGAAAGGCTTTTTGGATATAAGTTCATTGATCTGATTGCCGTGGACATACATTCGTTGGTCAGATTATAGTGGACGAAGGTTTATTGGCACAGACGAATATGTCCTAAATCTAAACTTGTATATACTTTTTTCGCACTACTCAAATGTAAACATTTTGACGCCCTACCAGGTAAGATCTTAGGAGGATGCAGTGCCGTTAACGCTCTTCATTTCACTCGGGGCAATGCGGGCGACTTTGACCACTGGAGCTCTCTCGGGAACACCGGCTGGAGCTACAAAGACGTTCTACCGTATTTCAAGAAGTCCGAAAACAACTTAAACCCTGCCATTGCCTCAGACACTCAGTACCACGGCAAAGGTGGCCCCCAGGTCAGTGTAAAATAGACACACTAAATGGCGAGGGACAATTTCTGTACGTAGTCTAGCTGAATCTATGTCACATTTAAATCAGATAAAAATTTGTGTCTACGTTACATAGAAAAAACAATATTTGTACTTGGCCTAGGTACCTTGACCTATAGGATAACAACCCGGGTCAAAATCCAGAGCGACTTTTCGCGTTTTCTTCGAGTACGAGGTAGGCGTTTAACTTCCGCTATAGAACATGGTAAAAGCGTGTTTGCTGCATTTTTGCTGCTATCAAGCCTAAAACGTGCATGGGATTCACCCATCATTGAGACGAAAAGAACAAGTTCAGCCGTCAGGATTAGGCCGTTTCACACAAAACAAGCAGGCCCGCCCTTCCGCCAAACGCAGTTGCCAGCTCTACTTCGCTGCGCCGGCAACTCCGTTAGGCAGGGACCGGGCATGCTTGGCCTGCCGGCAGCTATGGTCGGGCCAGAGGCCCGACCATTTCAGTCTCGCGATTTACTGAAGAACATAACCAAATAAATAATGTGACCAGTAAATCACTTTGTATATTTGGGTAAACTAACTTCCGGTGTAGGGCCTGCGGCCCTAGAGATTTGCTTTCACATGACAGAGGACTAACGTAGGCTGTTTCAAAAAAAGAAAGGTATGCCAGAACGAGGTTTATAGGAAAATTCACGTCACGCCACTACACCCCGCTCAAGTCCGACGGTTTTACGATGAGGGGAACCCTAGGCAACTCGCGTGTAAAGTTTCAAAACCTGTTTAGGCGTGAACTCGGCCGCCACGTTCTCAAGAGCGCTGAGCGAAGATGCCGCTGCCGGCGAAGGCGCCCCGACGTGTGGTGACTACTTAGGGCATGGATCTACTATCGGACATGGTGCCGACCGCGCGCCCAAAACCCCTCCGGACATAGGGCCTAACTACTCGTCTAGGGGACATTTCGCGCTAGACCGAGTACCGTACAATATTTTCTAAAACCGACTGCGCAGAAATGTACCGCGGCCAGAAAGCTATCGAGCACCGTTATGCGAAATTATAACGTTTTCCTGCCTCATAGCGAAAATGCGAGTGGACGGTTCCGAGTGCCGGGCGGCGCGTTCAAGCGGCGCGCGGGAAACGATGCCGCCGGCCTGGCGGGAGGCGGTATAGTGCGCTCGCCGCAAGTCGCTCGACCTGCGATGCGCTGCAGCTAAAAACACAAACAAAGCACCAGTATTGCACCGGCTGCACTACCGGCTCGGTGACAGGCGACAGCATACCACCCCGCCCCCTCCTCTCCCGAGACAGCGCCGGCGCGCGCCAGGCAGGCCGATCAGGCCCGGCCCCTGCCGAACGGAGTTACCGGCGCAGCGAGGTGGAGCTGGCAACTCCGTTTGGCAGAAGGGCGGGCTTGCTTGTTTAGCAAAACTTAACCACAGACATAAGTTTTTTTATGGCACAAAAAGCCACAACTAGACATGTGCGCCGACCACGATTTCATCGGCGGCGGCGCAAGGGCCAAAAATGGCCGTCGGCGGAAGCGCCGCCGGCGTTCACGCCGACGTTACAGTCGGCGGCGGCGGCGGCGGCGGCGGCGGCGTCGTCGGCGTCGTCGGCGCGCGCTGGGAATTTTGACAGTAAAAACGCGTATTTCTCATCTCATTATGCTCATTTTAATTAACTAGAGATGCTTTGAAAGGAAAAACAAACGAACAGACTATTATAAATCTCAGTCAGAGTCAGGAATAATAATTATTATATAAAATAATTAATGTATTACTACCTTTCTAAGGATAGGGATCACATTGGTCACATGGCACATTACACAAGAAAGTACAGTAGTAGTGTTCTAATTACTGGCAAAGAGGTTTCGGCACACTTCGTAATTTTCATGGATAAAAATAACAATATCTACTCGGTCTGGGTGGAGTCGTGACCTTTTTGCTGTCACAGTTAGCCCTGCAATTGAGAAAACCCTCTCGGCAGTTGTTGAGGTTGCGGGAACACAAAGAAATCTCCGAACTGCCGTTGTCAGCCACGGATATTGGTTAATGCGCCGCCTCCAGTAAGCTAGAATGTCATTGTCTGTGACGTCGGATGGGTTGCAGGCGTCAAGATACTGTCTTATTTCTCTATCGATAGCGGCAGCCCTTGTACCATCTTTATTCTTCGAGTGCTTTCTGGAGAGTGTTAACACTTCCTCGGCTGTATTGCTCTTCCTTTTAGTAGTACGGCCAGTGCTGGGGCCGGGCTGTGCAGGGTGAGCGTCATCGGCGGGTGTCTCTTCGTGGTGCTGTTGGGCCTCTTGTGGGAGGTGAGACTCCAGCACGTGGAGCCGCACTTGCTGGGCTAAGTACTCGGCCTTCGTCATACCACGTTCTCTCAAGTACTTGTCGACAATCAGCAAATCGCAGCAGCTCGGGTCTAGAATTGCAGAAGTGACTAGGAGATCATCCACAGGGTACCGGAAGTCTAGTCTTGCGAGGAGACGCCTCTTGAGCTCACCAACCACGATACTATCGTTCTCGTCCTCTTTCAAAACATCCTCCAATTCTGACCTGCGATTAAAAAAAATACGGCAATATGCGGTTAATTATACAATAGTGCTTTTAGTGGGGGGAGAGGGGGGTAGTATCTAGATTGGTGTGAGGTGCGAGGGGGGAAGTTTAGTTACTTACTTAAGCAGTAAGGCGAGGTTGATGGTGCACGATTTATCTGAACTCAATATTTCAACGACACGTCGGAATTTTGTAAGAAATTCAACCATCGATTTCATGGTGGCATGCTGTACGTTTGAGAATTTTAGCTCATCCTTCCCCACTTGGCTTAAGACCACATTGATTGGGCCCTAAAAAAAAAATAGTTTCTATTTAAATCCTTATTTATTTTAAAAAAAAGTAAGAATTGGTTACTTTAAGTTACCTTATTTTGCTCCATGCTCTCGAGCATAATGAGGACTGTGTGCCACCTTGTGGGGACAGAAAGTTTTACCGTGGTTGGAGTTGCAGCTGAAGGATACTGAACAATAGTATTGCTATTGGCGACGTCGTCAGCCTCCAACTCAAACACGGATTCATCATCGGCAGTGTCGGGGATTGGATCTGCATCGTCCTCCGCGGCGTGGTCGTCGACGTCCTGGACGCTGCTTAGCCAATTTAGCTGGTCCTCTTTGGTTTTTTCCCGTTCCAGGTCTGGTGTACGGTACCGCACCGTCTTGCACACCAATCTTGCCTTCTTGCATAGATCGGAAATGATGGGCATCCCCTTGATGCCGTCCTTGCTCACAAGATTGTGCACGCCATGACCTGTGCAAAACGGATGCGGGTACGGACGATTAGAATTTGGAATGCGACAGGTACTTCGAGCTAGGCTAGAGACTAGGCGCACCGCTATGCGACGGAGTAGGATACGGCTATTAAGTAATCATTATTAAAACGTACTCACCAAGGCAGAGATGGTGGGGTACGCCCATTGTCTCAATTGCCTTTTTGACATTTGAACCTTTGTCAGTAACATAGGTTATATCCTTGTCATGAAGTTCAAACCTTGTTAAAACGCCATTTATCTCTCGTATGATTTGTTGGTGATCCTTCTTCTCGTTGCACACCGACGTTTGCAAAACATAGCGCACTTTCTCCATTTTCTCTGAAAGAGAAAAATAAAATAAAATTAGACCGACCGAAATGTGCGCGTGGCGTGCACCTGTCTCGCCACGTACCGGGTGAACGCTCTCCAGTGTGACGGGTTTACTCACATGCTCGCTAAGGCCGCAGGGGCCATGCCCTCGGCGCCTTACGGGCGCCGGGAGTAGGCAAACCCGCAATACTGCAGAGCGTTCAAAGCAAAGATACACCCGGTACAAGCACAAGCGCCCGCGGCATGGGATGCTGCTGCAGCTGGACAGCACGGGCAGCGGCGGACGACGAGAAAGAAAAGGCTCACCTGTGATAGCGTCATATATGAACGCGAAATATGAATTGCGTCGAGTGGTATCACTCCACCCATCAAGTGATATGGCACCAAAGGGCGAGGCTTTGCACACCTCCTTTTTCACATGGGCAAGCATTGTGTCGTACACATCTCGTAATGCCTTCCGAGATACGGTGGTGCGAGTGGGGAGAGACTCATCCGGCCCGATCACATGGTATTTCTGGAAATAAATAAATCAACAATAAATCATAGTACTTGAGAGGTCAACAAAAACGAAGGCTTGTGAAAAACGTACCTTCATGAAGTCGTTTGTCGCCACATCCTCGCACAGGTCAAAAGGAAGTAGGCTGCGGCAGAACCAGAGAGCCAGGTCGCGAGCAAGCAGCCAACGAGCCCTCTCAGCACCTTGTTTTGGTGTGCGTTTCACAGTAAAAAAATCTTTCAAATTTCCACTTGATCTTTTGCTGGGGGTATCACTTATAGAATGGGCTTCCTTTAGGTGAGTTACTAGATTACCAGTGCTGACGGTTCGCTGGTAAGCCTTTATATTCAGCAGAACACTGCGCAAAACAAAACAAACATGGGCGACATAACCTAGAACTGACTCACCGCCGGGCTAGTGCCACCCCGACAAACGGACTGTTTGACAGATTCACTAACCTTGCCAACGATTGCGGCTCCCCCGGGTCATCTACATTCATATCATCTTCATTCTCTTCAATTGATTTGGCGACAGCAGCAACAAAACATGGCTTACAGAATATTTTGTCAACGTAGACTTGCTTCTTCCCGGCGTCGCTCTGCAGCACGAGGTTTCCAAAATGCTTCCACGCGAATGAGGTTTTCTTGTCACTGTGAAGCACTTCAACTGCGTATGCGGTCAGCGGCTTGTTTAAATCGGCAGACTGCGCCATCGTTATCAAACTCAAACCTACTCGGCCCTTACCGGCCTCGCCCCACACAACGTGTCTCGTCCTGCTCGCAGCACCAGGGTGAAACGAGAAGCGTCGAAAACAACAACACAGGCGGCGCGGGCGGGGAGGCGAGGGAGTGCTCGGCCGGCCGAGTCGCAAGGGGTCGGGGTAGTAGAAGAGTGCCGGTTGGGTTGCCTATCCAGCATCCAGCAGGCGCGAAACGGACTGAAAACCTATGCAACGTGGATCGCGGCGCCGGCGCCGCCGCCGGTAAAATCGTCGGCGGCGGCGCGGCGGCGCGCCGAAAATTTCTTGTCGGCGGTGGCGGCGTGCTAAAAATCGTCGGCAGCGGCGTGACGGCGGCGCGGCGCACATGTCTAGCCACAACTGCCTTGATTTTGGGCCCTTCATGTCAAAGTTTGGCCGGAAATTGGCAACATTCTTTAAAACACGCTCAGAAAATTTGAGAAATGTTTTTAGCCCGCCCTTCTGCTTTTAAAAAAGCATTAAAGCGGTCTATGCAACCGCTCTCGTGTCCGTCCGTCCGTCGTCCGTGTAAGAGGAAGGAGATGAGCTAGCGGTCTATACAAATTATAGGGTATCTTCGGGGTCACTTCTGGACAACGAAACGCCTGGTAGGACGAAACGCCTCAAGCCGGCCCCCGGCCTGGCAGCACCCTCTCTGACACTGGTCGGGTGATGATTTTTGATTAGGAATAGTGTTTCTGTTTCCAAAAAGCACTCGCCCAGCCCTGATCTCCAAGCCGTTCAGATTTTTGAGTCTAGGTCGTTTTCCACCTTTCCTCTTTTTCAAGGTTTCCAGAAAAAATGGTTTTGATTATTTCTTCATTAGTATGTGTCCTTCAGGTTGGGCGAGTGCTCATCGGAAAGAGTAAAGAGAGGAGCTTTAAAAAGAATTGGTCCCATTTTTTTTTAAACAAAGTCTATTTTAAGGAAATTTCTCAAAAGTTTGACCCACTCTCCTGAAAATACGTAACCTTCGATTTTTGATTTTACTTGCACAAAAGTTGATCTTTGGGGTGGTTAGGTTAGACGAAATTTTTGCCGAAAGGGCGAAAGGATTCTACTTTTACGAGTTACCCAAATTAAAATTAGAAGTTGGAGCCATCTGTCTGTAAAAAGCTGAAAAAATGTACGAAAATTGCCCGGGGACAAAGATCTGATTACATGAAGAAATCTACCACCCCAAAAGGCAACTTTTGTAAAAAAAAATCAAAAATCCAAGGTTACGTATATTCAGGAGAGTTGGTCAAACTTTTGAGAAATTTGCCTTAAATAGACTTTTAAAAAAAATGGACCAAATGAGCACTCGGCCAGACCTGTAGGACAAAAACTGAAAAAGATATAATCAAAACCATTTGTTCTGGAAACCTTCAAAGAAGAGGAAAAGTGGAAAACGTCCTAGACTCTAAAATCTGAACAGCTTGAAGCTCGGGGCTGTGCGAGTGCCTTTTGGAAATAGAAACACTATTCCTTATCAAAAATCATCACCCGATCAGTGTCAGAGAGCACTCAAAAAATCGTCCTCTTGAAAAACATACTAATCGTTCCCGCTAATGATACAACTAAAGGATACACTAGATTATAGAATATTATCTGATAATGCAAATTCCACTGCAACAATACTATACATGTAGTATACAATTGTATAGTATATTGTACACTTAAGCTAGGGGTTTAGGTTGTCCTCTTTGCACTAGTGGAATTTCCACTCTCTGTACATGAACTATGTATTGCGTGGAACTGCCGGCAGGCCAACCAGGCCCGACCCCTGCCGAACGGAATTGCCGGCGCAGCGAATTGGAGCTGGCAACTTCGTTTTGCGGAAGGGTGGGCCTGCTTCTTTGGTTTTCTAAAAGGTAACTCTTAAAAGTAGGACCCTTGGGCTCGAATCAAGTGTCCACCCCAATTAAAATCATTTCCGTGATTTACGTAAAAACTAAGCCAGGACATATTGCCCGCATGTTAAACTTCGCCCTCTAAAGGCCAGATAATTCATTTCAAAATGCTGTTAATACAATTTTCAAAAATGTATCAGGCCCTACTTACCATCAATACAACGTCTTTATTTTTTGAGGCAGGATGTGGAACTGGACCGTTACATCGACCCAAACACGCAGCTGCTCATGAAGGCTTACGAGGAAGCTGGCATTGCAAGTATCAATGACGTCAACGGAGCTAAGCAGATTGGTGTCTCAAGGGTAAGCTACGTGCCTTACGCCAAAAAATTCATGAGGAATAGCCAGCGACAGGGGTTGAGGCCAACTAGATGTTCCAACGACATGAGCCCCGTATAAGCCCGGTTGACATGAGCCCCGTTTGCACCCGACAAGGGCACGAACCTTTACCGGCCGGGTCTCATGTTATGTGCAATCGGTCTGCGACATGGGCCCCAATTGCACACGACATGAGTCTCCTTACATTAGCCCTAACATGAGCCAGGCGCAATTTTAGATGAAATATGATTCTTCCACCTTAAATTGGATGTTCCCTGTCAAACAACAGTTGAAATTCATAAAGTGATAGTTGCAGGCAGCGAACCAGAGCTCGGGAGCAACTGATGGTCTTCTTTACTTATGTGCAGGCGCCGTCGTCCGCCTCTCACGGCGAGCGTTTCAGCACCAACCGGGCCTTCCTGACGCCGGCCGTGCGTAGGAGGCCGAACCTGACGGTGCAGACAGGTGCCACCGTCAGGCGCATCATTCTGTCCAGCGGGGCCGGCAAGCCTCGCGCTGTGGCTGTCGAGTACGATGGACCGCAGGGCAGGAAGACTGTCAAGCTCAACAAGGCCGCCGTGCTCTCGGCCGGATCCTTCAACTCGCCGCAAGTACGTAGATGGTATACACCAGCTCAAAAACTTCGGCATACACTCTTAATCTGATGGGACTTATGTACTTGTTCGTAGAACGTTTTTTTGCACAGCCCAGCAAGATACAAATATGAATTTCGAAAATTTGCTTCTATTTTGATGATCAAAAAAGATGCTTATTCGTCTCTTGGTAGACTCAAATCTGTACCTCGTAAGATGTGCACCAAACCGCATAATTCTGCGGACAAAAACAGAAGTCCCTAAAAATTTATAGAGTACATTCGTCATAACTTTCATTTTGCAAAATCAATTAATGACTTTGATTAAATTATTACTAAAACGTTAGTAATATGTAGAACAACGATTTATGACATAGTTGCCGTCCGTGCTTTGCGTCAGGGACAAGCGATGTTAGTCTTTTAAAAAGAGTGCGAAAGAGTGTAAAATTTAACAATTTTCTTAGTTACCAGTTCCTTGTAGTAATCCTGAGAAAATTGTGCGGTTCTGCTACAAGGATTTTCTTTGGAAGATACGGGTTTCAAGATAGAGTCTAGGATTTCAAGGGCCAATCTTGAAATTATCCACCCGACCTTGAAGTCCAAGACATTTCCTCGGAGTTCAAGACATTCTTTTTACCGTGGCCTACGTCCACTTGTGAGCTCCTACAGGACCCACTGCATGGACTTAAGTTGGTCTTTGGTTTTGAGAGCAGCACGAAAAGAATCGGCTACAGAAAATAGCGCACGAGACGAGCGACAAAATTTTATGATATCTCACGACTAAACGAGTAGATCTGAATCGAATCATTCTCTCTTTATTGGGTTCCTGTCGCGTTCTATTCAAGCGCAGTTTTAGTCTTGTATTGTCTTTAAACCTGACTGATGTTTGCCACGTGTACCACGTGGCCATTTTCGGCGTACTGTCGTCAAAGGAAAAAAACTCCAGCTCCCAAACGGTGAAGGAACGGGAAAAATTTCAGTCCACAGGCCACTTTAAAGAGTTATCCCTTAGAACATCATAAAAAATACTTTTTTCCAACTGTTTTTACCTATCCCTTTTCTTTTTATACCTCCTTTCACTTCCTTAGAGGAAGATGCCGGGATTTGTCTCAGGCGTTTCGGTGTCCAGTGGCCCCTGACATACCTTGACATTTGTAGGCCTCTAGCTCAGCTCCTCACTCTTGTATGGACCACAGAGAGACAGGCAGACAACGGAGTGGTTGTATAGGCCCGCTTTAATGCGTTTTCAAAGCAGAAGGGCGCGCTAAAACCGTTGTCTGAGCCTTTTAGAAAAAGGATAAACTGCTTCGATTCAAGATTTTCCATCACTTTTTGATCACGTCTTTTCGGAAACCGAATAAATCCCTTACACTTTTCCGTTTTGCTGAAAAAGATGGACATTGTTTTCACCGTGCGGAGAGCTGCGAAGTGCAGCGTGTCTGTGCCTAACTCAAATTGTATATCACCAGATACTTATGCTGTCCGGTATCGGTCCTAAGTCACATCTTAATGATGTCGGAATCAAGCCGGTCGTCGATTTGCCAGGGGTTGGGCAGCGCCTTCACGACCACATGTTTGCAAAGGTAAGAAACGGTGGCGAAGGTAAGAACGTAGTGGGTGTAACTACCTATCTACCTCCACACTAATACCGTCTTAAGGACACAGAGGTATGTATGTACACAAATTATTATCCCTTGCTTATAGAATGTAGATGATAAGCAGAGCGGCGACAAAAACGTGATATATTGGAACGCATATTCTCGCTCTGTCGAATATAAAAGTAACTAATAAAAGGGATACTCTGCTAATCTTAATGCGTAGTCTTATGCCAGTTTAAACTTTTTAGCTCTGCAGTTGACGTTCTTTTCCCATTTAATTATCCGTGGCACTCGTACTAGTTAAGGTCAAGTTTCAATACTGTATTAAAAATGTAATTAATTAAGATAGCATGCATTAAAAAGAAATGAAGAGTGAAAATGTTTAACACAATTGTTCAAAAGTACTGCTCACACCATGTGGCTGAAAATACGGAGAAGGTCGGCCGATCAAATTACTTCTGGACATTTACTTAGTACTAAATTCACTAACACGAGCAAGAGCAACGGAAATGGCTGGGTGAGATGGTTTGTATTATAAAGTATGATAAAGCCACTAGGTAACTTTGGTCTTTTTCCTAGAACCCGTCCAAAAGCATTGGGTCCATAACTCGCTAGTAGCCTAGGCTATGCTGCCACATCCAATGGGCAGCTAGAACCCTCAATTTACCCAATTCTCAGACTGTTCTGATAGTAAATTGGGTTCAGGCTTATGTGTCGTTCCCAATTTGATGCAGACGACAGAAAACTTCGACACGACACGACTCCACTGTCATAACCAAAAACACTTTAAAATTAAAATAAATCTTAAATCATACTCATAGTACATTGTTCTCCCAGCTTCCCCTAACTCGGCCTTAACTCGTACAAGTGTCACATACAGTTTAATTAGAAAAGAAAGCCCACTGCAGAACTAAAACGTTTCGCAGTTACAACTCGAGAGCTTTTGTTTCGCAGCTTAAACTGGCAAACTATGATACGCACTAAGATAAGCAGAGAAACATTTCCACTCGGAAACGAAAGATACTAGCGTAACTCATACACAAAACGGTACACCCTAAGGTTCGGGGTTTGGGTACGACCCCTTCTAAGATTTTAACAACAATCGCAGTGTTTTTAATTTTTTCCAGGGTAACGTTAAGTTTTTGTTGGGCAAAACCGCAAATCTGGGCACTCAACAGCAGATCATTGCCACGATTTCCCAGTACGTTCAGAAGCGGACTGGTCCTCTCACGGCCACGGGCAACCCGGTAAGTTCCTTTGTCGTTGCAAACACGGCGTGGTTGGCGTCTATCCTTCCCTAGCTGTTTTCATCGGGTGGTTGAACAGAACACGTGCCCGTGCCCCCATTCAAAATGTTGTTTTAAAGTTCAGCCCTCGGTCTGAACAGATTGGATTGAAAACTATTTATGTCTCACGTCCGCGGACGTGCTTTCATTTGTAGACCGCATTTCTAAAGAGAAAAAAACTGACTACTCAGAGAGCAATGTGTTCATTGTTGGGCTGTTACTCAGACGCGGTTTGAAAATGCAACAGGTGGTGTTGAACCATGAGCCCCC